GCTATTATTTGTGCTTTTTCCAGAATACTTCATCGAGGATTTTTTTTTAATTCAAAAATGACTATGTACATAAGTTTGTGTTAATAAGCTAGCAATGATAAGAAGTAGTAAAACATACTAATGTCACCACAGTTTAGAAAAACACTTCACTTGAGGAAATTTAAAAACAAGAATTTCAATCTGAAGCTAGCTACTGTTACTTATGTTGATAAGTGAATAATTTGAGGAGCGTCCAGAAGCGGCACTTCTACGAGAAAGAACTGAGCGAGTCCACTGACGAGTGTTACTTGTACAATATTGTAAGATTTTGTGGAAAGAGCATAGAAAAGAGTTGTGTGTGCATAAGGTCTTATAAGACCTAAGAAAATATGACATCCGTTTTTGAAAACTGAGCAAGATTAGTCATGATTGACATTTCAGTACCGTTCTTTCAGCTGTTTTTAGTTCTAATCAGTCCCCAAAATCCTTCGAATTAATCTATTCTAATGTAGTGATCATTTTCGTCAATCTTTTTATAACTGTCGTTATCTTTTTGGAGTCAAAATCATCTGAAGTTTCCCTCATGATTTTTACAGAGATCTCATTTTTTGATGTCACAAGGAATCGAAATATTATTCTCTATAGCTGAACAAGAATTCCTTCAACCATCTGATCGTGTAATCGTATACTTATTTTTCTTCTGAGCTTTGATTGTCGTGAGTATCTTCATAAGCTTCATAAATAATTGCTATCTACTCATCAATGGAATTTTCGGACAAAAATTCGAATACTTCAAGCTTTTCTTAACGATAGAGATATGTTTTTCATGTATTTTTTAAGTTAACCATATATCGCGTGTTATATCAGAGTATGGTTCTAGAATTTCTTTTAAGTATAACGGTACACAACAATGAAACTCAAATCCAATAGAAAAATTCATATTTTCGATTAAATCTCAAATATGATCTAGAGATTATTATCTTACAATAGTCCCGAGAAAGTTTTTCGAATTATTAGTCACTCATTCGGTCTAGTTTAAATATTGCCACTTTCTCCTTTTCTTTTCTTTTCTCTATTTGTCTCTTTGATGTTGACTATGTGCTGTAAGGAACCAATCGATGATCTTCATTTATTTCTAGAACAAAGAAACTTCCTGAACTACTATTGAAATTATTCGGAAGTAAGTATCAAGAGCATAGGAATATCTGTCTTTCGTCGCCTTGGAACATAAAGATTTGTATTAAACTCTCATGTTCGATGTGTTGAAGTCGATTGAGCTTTAAAATAAAGCACCATGAAAATTATTCTAATGTATTGTTTATCTGTTATACGCTTATAAATTAAGAAAACGACTCTTTTAATCTCCTATTTCTCTCTAACAGGTCTAAGCTTTCTGTTTTAGATATTTCTTGAATCGGAATCTTTTAATCAATATAAACAGTGTGGCTTTCATTGAAAAAATGAAGTGTAGAATGAAAAAAGTATTTATCATTCTATTCATCATAAATATGTGGCAGCTCACAGCCGGTGATCAGTGTAAGCTTCATCCTGGCAAGTGTCGACTCAAACGCTTACACGGTGATGTCAATCGTGACCAACAAAGTAGATTAAATTCACTTGGAATAAACTCGAAAATCCAAGCAGTGGCACAAGCAGAAGATCCTGGTGCTATAGTTCACGTGACTATGGACTCAATAGTTAGCGTCAACTTGGATGAATTTTCCAATGACCAGAACAGTTTGAACTTGATTATTAACGAACTATTAAAGCCAAATCCACAATTTTGGATAGAGCGTACGATGAAACAAGTATCAATGGCAAGCTATCGACTTGTATACCGTCCAAGTTTCATTGAAGGTAAATATCAACTTCCATTAACGCAACCTGAACACTGGAATATCGTTGTGCATGGTAGTCCAAGACGTGATCATTCACTCAATGGTCACGATTCAGTTTACATGCATTATTCATGGTCAACACATATGTTGACTGATTACAAATCGCCCAGCATCAGTGAACCACAATTAGGCATGATTGATGGTCAGTGGGTGGAACCCATCATACTGCCTACTGATCCTTACAATCTTATGCAACGAACTGGCTATGCTTGTATAGATGAAGGTAAGTCATCAATAATTTCATTCTCACTGACAGTCAGACTAATAATACCAGATTTTTTCATGTTGAGCGGCATCAACAAAATCCGAAATTTTCAGTTTGGACAGCATCGATAGGTTAATATTAATGCTGAGATAGGTCAATGAAAATCAATGTTAGTATGCTGCATGTATGAAATATATCTGAGCCCAAGACATGCAGATAGTCAAACAAAAATTTCAGTAAAAACAAATCTTCACGAAAGGAATTTTGAATTCGAAGTTGTACACAATTATTTGAACATTATCTTTCAAGGGACACAGTATTAGAATTTTAAAACTCTTACCTAGTAATGGTTGGACTTTTCTTTATGGCAAAAAAATAAATGTTTGTTTACATTGTGGATTTTCTCAGAGCGCGTGGAGTTTACGAAGAAAGTGTTATAGATTGAGTCGCAATAGCAGCCGACCTTGAACTCGATTGCACTCATATTCTCTATGACAGTAAGATTTGAAGTCATCAACTGAAGCGTTCATCATACCTTATAAGCATAGGTGACAGAGCTATTTAGCTTGAGCAAAAGTCAATACAACAGAAAAAGTTTTTATTACTATTAACTGTCCATGCTATTGTTTATTCTACTATTTTAAATATGTTTTGAGCTCTAAATACTTGAATACTATTATTATTTTCATCTAATTAAGTCAACTAAACGAAATTAGAATAGGTTTTTATCAAAATAAGAGAAAAAGAACCTTACTATTAAGTTGATCTAGTACCTGGTCGATTTTATTCAAGGAGTCAAGATAAAGAGATGTGTTCTGCTGTTGAATAATTTTATTGCTTCTTAGGCTGTTTTTCTTTTGCTTTCTTAAGTAGTCTTTTTCGGTTACTTCATTACTTCTTATTTTGTCATGAAACCATTACGTATTTAAAAATATTTAATGCATTTTAATAAATTACAATCGACGAAGCGGACCTCTAATGTCTACCACTGTAAGAAAAAATGAATAAAAACTACAGTGAAAATAGTCGGATCTGATGAAAATCACGTTATAATTTCCTTATGTAGTAAAAAGAAAAGTCAATTAAAACTATATCATTACTATTGGTTTTAATGGAACGTCAATCCTAGTTTTTCAAATTGGCAGACTTAGTTTCATCGTAAATTTGAACCAATCCTAGACTAAAATCGCTGTGCAGTATATGCTTGTAAGATTACATATCATGTTCAGCCGCAATCATATTATTGTAGTCAACAGTTAGAAGTCTATAATAATAATTTATACTTTACGGATAGGTGTACTCCGTACCACCAAACGTCTAAAGAAGGTTAAACGAAATTTTATCGAAATGTGAAAAAATACATCTTTAATTAGGTTTCTTTTCCATCAAGATGATCCTTTATCTGAGCCATAAATACTGGTCGATGTCGGTCAAAACTATGCAAAATACTTCTTGCACGGGTTTACCATATCTATTTGTGTCGCATTTTCGAAATACAGATGATAACTAACTCGATGGTATTTGGCTGCATGAATAGAGCCGTTAACCAAAACTTTTCGTCTTATTTTTCAAATGTGGAATGATTATACTTCCTTATGTACTACGTTTTCTAAAGTTCTAAGTATGAAATTCTTAATTATTGTTGCCTAATACGCAGTCTTAAAAGTATCACATTGTTTGAGTTTCGCAAAAACTTCTTAGCATATCTCTGTAGTAGACGAGTAGATCTAAAATGTCGGAATCAACTTCTATTGGTTGATCAAAGTTGTTTAACACTCTATTCTCAGCTGTCACTAATTATAAAATCATTTCTGAAAACTTTATTGACTGAAAAGTGATTTCATCGATTCAATTTCTTTCTCGAGTTCCTCTCATTTATAAAACGTCAGTGTCAATAAAGTTCTTACCAATTATAAGTAATCGATACATGGAAGTATTATTTAGAAGAACCCTTTTAATATAAAATAAATCTTTGTTTCAGCTGACTATCCAATTCCAAGTGCTCATCCTGAAAGAACTGAATGGGTTTACGATGACACGTGTGAAGCTGAAGATCCATTTGTATATTCGCCAACTGCAGCGTGCATTCAATGTCATTGTTCGCAGACTGTTCAGATAAGTTGTATTGATGCATTAAGAAAATACGTTGGTGCAGTGAATGCTTCATTTATTTTTACTCGATTACTTATAATTGGTAAGAACTTTATTGACACTGACGTTTTATAAATGAGAGGAACTCGAGAAAGAAATTGAATCGATGAAATCACTTTTCAGTCAATAAAGTTTTCAGAAATGNTTGATGAACTGTTTACAAAGTTCGAATGCTTGATAAATTTTAAACATTATGCATATTTTTTCTACAGAATTGAGCAAACTTTAATCACATTTCATCAAGAATTATAGTTCTCTGAAATATACGTTGAAAATCATAGTTCAAAGCCGAACTTTTTTCAACAATCTACATCGGAAACACAGAAGCATTACTTGTATTCATATCATCAGTACCTATTCAGTTTGCCAGAAATTCACCGGTTCAAGAACAACTTATAAACGGCCGGACCGGACCGTTTTCAAAATTTCTTACCGGTTCCAGCTCTGATTCAAACTAATAAGTCCTAGTCAAGGAATCATGAAAAGAAGTTTATTTCTTACGAATTCGGAGTTTATTGAAGGTTCTACACAATACGCTGAAACTGTCCTAATCCAATGCTTTACTTCTCTAAATAGATAGTATGTATGAATCGATCAAAAATGACGTAACATAGAGTAAACGGTTAATTATATTTTCCCTAATGTTTTATACAGATTTTAATGAAACACGTTCTAAGATGAGTGTTGAAGTATAGGATTAGAGATTTGTAATGTTCCCTCTTTCCTACAGATATTGTTGATATACGGACAAAGATTATATATCAATAACATCTCATTATAATCTATGAATTACTTTCTTATTGTATTTCTTAGCAACAACAACTACATCGTGCTTCATATTTTAATCCTGTAGGACTTGTGCTAACAGTTTTGTATTTCGGACAAATGATTTAAAACTCTTAGAGGGCGAATATCTATTTTGGGAAATGCAAACATAGAATATTTCATGTTGCACGTTTGTTCGTACTACCATTGGTATACCAACTTGAACTTCCGAGAGGAGCGTTGCCGATCCCCTCAGACTGAATAACACACTGAATGATTTCTGAACTTTTTAAAATTTCTTTTGTTTTAATTAATATTTGAGAAAGTGACTGAAGAAAATATTTTTTTTTTCTTAATATATAGATTGTGTTTATGCATGCTAATCGTTATATTGAATTTCACTCTCAAGTTGGAAACTACTATACAATCCGAACACCAAAACAAGGACGAGCTTTTGATTATCGATATTCATCATGCGATCTTTATTGTGTTGGAGCAACGTAAGAAAAACAAAAAGTAAATAAAATGATTTCTAGAAAAAAAAGATTTTTTATTTTAGAAATGAAATTTATCGATTTAATCTCGAACAAGGTCAATATCTTGAACCTCTACAAAGCAAATTAACGTATAATAATCGAAAAATTTAATTCTTTTAATCTTTCTTCGGTTTTTAGTGGTTTTAATGCTTGTGAATTTAATCCTGAACATGAATTATTTGCTTGTGGTTCTGTTGAAGTAAAAAAAACTAAATCTTTCTTATTTTTATATGCAATATTGAATTCTCTCACTTTTTTTTTTAATAGGGTCATTTAGAATGTTATGATCCTCGTATACGATCTTTTGTTGGACAAATTGATTGTGCTGTCTATGCAAATAGTAATAGTGGTAGCAGGTATAGGAATTTTGGTTTTTTGTTTTTCAAAACAAACGAAACAAATTATTCTTATTTTCTAGTTTACCAGCTGTATCATGTATTAAATTCAAAGATGCACTTAATGTATCTGTTGGTATGACTACTGGTCAGGTAAGAAAAATATTTTTTTCTGTAATAATTTATATTTAACGTTTTTTTTTTTTTTATTTCTAGATTTTATTGTTCGATATTCGTTCAAATAAACCATATTTTATAAAAGATCATAATTATAATTTACCTATAAAACGTATTGATTTTCATACACAAAATGATGATTACATTTTATCAATCGATAAGAAAATATGTAAAATATGGAATCGACATACGGTAAATAATTCAATTATAGAAACTTAATTGTTTCGGCAATCATTACTTCTCAATTGAGATTGTTTCATAATTGAATACTTTTAGCCGAACGTAATAAGAGTTATTTAAACTTAATGGATATGATTCTATTTAAAAGGAGTGTTGAAGAATAAGGATAAAAAATGTAGACTTCTCTACACTTTGTGAAAGACTTAGCCATGAAATTGAAGTTTTCTCTAGGGTTGTTATAAGATTAAGATATTTATATTTGACCATCTTTCTAAAAATCTTTCATTACGAACATTTCTGTACGTTGGAAATCACAAACCGAAGGAAAATATTTCCAAACTTCTATTCAGTCAAGGAACAGAAAAAGTTTATCTTATAAATCTTTACTGACTGATTCTGTTACAGAACATCAATTATTATTAAACATATTGAATCTATAGCTGGAATTCGAGTTTAATGAATCATTTTCTTTCTCATGAGTATCATTTGATCAAAAATATCTGAAAATCTTCTATTAATTTGATGAAGTTGTATTATCTAATCAATACTTTTTTACTCTCCGATTGTATACTGAAAAAAGTTAGGAAAAGAGGGGTTCAGCTCCTTGATCACGTCTGTAAAGAAATACACGAATTATTCTGGTAATGCTTTTTTAGATGGGGCTTAAGATCTTTTTAAAAGCAAAAACCAATTGTTGATAGGAAACAGCTGAACTCCGTTGGGTTATACCACTATTAAAAAACTGCCATTAAACTCATATTTGGTTATTTAGGGTAAAAATTTAACATCAATCGAACCAGATACACCACTCAATGATATGCTCAATATACCTGGTAGCGGTTTAATATGTTTAACTAATGATTCACCAAAAATATTTGTTTATTATATTCCGGTATGTTCTAGGAAATAAATTAATATTTATTAGATACATCTATTTATAGACATTGGGTAATGCACCAAAATGGTGTACATTTCTTGATAATATTACTGAAGAACTTGAAGAAAAACCAGCTGATACAGGTTTGATATTGTCTTACGTATTTATTTATTTATTTATGTTTTTCTTTTCTAGTTTATGATGATTATAAATTTTTAACATTAAAAGAACTTGATACACTTGGTTTATCTCATTTAATTGGTTCTGATCTTCTTCGAGCATATATGCATGGTTATTTTATGGATATTCGACTATATAATCAAGTAAATTATTTATATATATATAATATTGATTATTATTTTGATTATATTTTTGTTTTCTAAGGCTAAAACTGTTGCTGAACCATTTGCATTTGCTGAATATCGAAAGAAAAAATTACGTGAAAAAATTGATCTTAAACGAGAAAAAAGTCGTGTACCAATGCCGGTAAAAATTTTTCTATGGATTTTTATTAGGAATTATTTCTTTTCTTTCTTAAATAGATTGTACCAACAGTTAATAAAGATCTTGCTGAAAAACTTTTATATGATGAAAATGAATTAAGTGTAAAGAAAAAAAAGAAACAAAAACCTCTTGAAGATAAAGTAAATTTTTTTTTTGTTCCTAAGCAAACGGAGAGAGAAGCGCATAAAAGCCATTCTCAGTTTTCCTTCATTCATAGTTTGTCACACACAGAATTTCATGATAAATCATTTTCTTGTATTAAAACGTTTTTAGTTAAAAACTATATCAATCGATTATTCATCCTGTAGTCTTTTTAAAAAAAAATCGAAAAACATCTGGTTTTTTAGCTCTTCCTACAAGCTTTCAGAATCAATGAAAAGTCTATGCTGTTCTTTTTCCTTTCTCGAAATATTAAGAAAATACTGAACAGAAATGGTAATATGATTTTATTATGATCCATTTATAGTAGAAACGTGAACATGAATAATTTGAGCCAAAGTAAGTCCGAATGCTTAAGAAACTGCTTTCTCTTTTGTTACGAAACGGTTCACCATGAGACTGTGCATCAGAAAAACTGTGAATAGATAAAAACTGAGGATGGCGCTTATGCATTCTTGTGCTTGCTATGTACAATATTTTTTTTCTTTAGGAAACACTATCTATTCTTAAAGATACTCGATTTCAATCATTATTTACAAATCCTGATATGCAGATCGATGTTAATCATGAAAATTTTAAAAATATTGCTCCACTTGTTTCTCGACTTAATAAACAAAATTTAATTGAAGATGAACAAATAACGGTATGAGAAAAAACAAAAGCATTTCATGACTTTTTCTTATTTTTTTTTTTTTTGCACTTAAATAAAGACTGAAAATGCTGAAGAGGAAAGAGAAGATGTTGATGACGATGATGATTTAATGAATGAAATTCTTTCCTCTGAAGAAGAAGAAGAACAAGAAAAACAAAAACCTAATCGTAAAACAAAATTAGTGCCAATCGATGCAATAAATGATGATGATCAAGAAACTCTTCGTTCATTGTCATTTAGAGAACGAACAAAAAGAGCCATGGATTCATCATCTTCTTATTCAAACCATCAAAATCAACTAATACCAACTAATAAAGATAGTCGAAAACAAACAAATGATGATCATCGAAAAAATGTTCGACGTGCACCACGTGGTCGAATGAACAGTCGGCCTAAAGAAGCATAAAAATAAGGAATTTTTGTTACAATTTCATTGTTAGTTTTTTTTTTTAATAAATTCTTTTGTTTTGATGTTTAGTGAATTTTCATTTACTAGAAAAAAAAATATATTTATGAACTGCGAATAATTAAGAAGCTTCATAAGTTGCCCTTTGCATCAATGTTAGTACGGAAATTAGTCGAATGTAGAGTTCATTCTGGTCAAATTTCTTATGCTTTTCATACATATGTAATGTCAATATATTGGTTGTCATGGGAGAAACAGATATCAACAACATATTGTATCGAATGAATGATTCTTGTCATGAATCGTAATTTAAAGAAGATTTTCATTAGAAGAACAAGACTAGTGATAAGCATTTAAATACTAAATTTAATGCCTTCATTTGAAGTAAGCAGAGAAGCTTACGAAAGAACATATTCATATTATGGCTTCGAGTAGGGTACTGTGAGATCAAAAAAACAGTCCAACAGGATTTAGGCCTACACGCTACGGATGAAGAATTATGATTAGCCATGAATAGGACTAATCGTTTTGGTCCCAGTTCTGTCCGAACTGAAATAATCTCTTCCATATTCATTTAGAACACATCAGCTTTGACAATATGACGTTCGACGTCAGTTTTACACGACAATGAATGCGTGTTGGTCGTGATCTCATGTGGCATATATTTAGTTCTTGTCGTTTTAATGAAATTTTTATTGAGAACAAGACATTTTTGAAATACCCTTAACGAAGAATTTGGATCTGAAATTGTGTCTACAGGTACATATGATAGTGTTGAGAGTTTCAATGAAAACTGATTTCGGATGTTGCATATTTTACAAAAGATATTTTCGTTCTTGTTGAAGCCTTCAGGGCTATCGAATGACTATCAAGCATGTCTATAGACAAAATTTCAGCTCAAAAATTCTTTATTTTGGGTATTACGAAAATGTCTTGATTTCAGTAAAAATTTCCATATAACCAGCATAATTTGTAGTCATAATACAGAGTTGAATATTGAAAATTTGAATTAGTTGTTAATAGAAATGCACCGATTTCTCGAATATGATGTTAAACATTACATTTTTTTTTCATTATTAAGAATGTAGTTCTTGTGGATTGTTTATATCAACCATGATCAGTTTTTTTAATACTCTATCCAAAGCTGAAGTCAAAATTCATGAAATACAAAATAAAAATTTCGAAAATGGTCGTGAATAAGCACTTTTTTGGTTTTCTTTGACTTATTCAAACTGATTTTAAGATCTGTGTTTTCCATTAGACGAAACCTAAGAATAAATTCGAAAAAGAGCGTTCAAAACTGATCACAGCTGACATGACGAATCGTCATTACTATGATAAATTTCAATATTGGAAATATTTTACTCTTCGATTGGAAATTCAAGGAATTGAATTTATCCCTGCTTACAAAAGCATATGTCCAGTATTGAGAATTATTCAACGCTTCGAATTTCTTCATGTCAATAGTGATCAGCTTTGAACACACTTTCCGAAACTATTGTAAGACTTTGTCTAATGCAACATACTGATCTCAACAAAATCAGTTGAAATTGGTTGAAAAAAGCAAAAAAAAATGTGATTTTTCTATCGATTTCAAAACCTTTACATTGTAATTCATAAATTTTCACTACAACTTCGGATAGAACTTAAAAATCTGACCATGGTTGTTTCTCTCATTTGTAACAGAAAAAGAAGCAGAAATAGGGTTGATTCAGATTTTTCAAAGTTTAAATCGAACTGACATCGAGAAGAATTCGAAGAACTAAAGTGTGGATATGGGTTATTCATCAAATAGAGACCTCGCCCTTGTTCTCATTCACATCTACACCCTAACATGTTTCTATAAACAAAAACGTTCCTTATGAAAACTCTAGAGTTTAACAAATTCTCTTGATATCGCATATGAGTCTGTGGGTTTCAATATAATAGAAAATAATGTGAACCATATACGAATTACTTGCAGCCAAAGGATTAATGTGATTTAATCGATGTGAAGCGAGCATCCATCATAAACCGAGCTGAAACTTGATATTTGACTGGAAAAAAGTTTTTGATTTCAAGTTTTGTTACCTTAATAAAATGGTCTCCTGGAGATAGTACTCAATTCAATGTATCGGTTTATCTAGCAACCTCTTGCTGAATTCTAAGCTAAACAATTATAATAGACTTTAGAGAGCTAGCAGAAAAATTGTCATTTTATCATACTTTTCAATATAGTACAAAATGACTTCATTATTTCGAGCATTAATATAGAAATAACTTTTGACCAAATGAAGGGGATTATTTTCTGCTAGATCATGTGTTTCACGACCGTCCACATATACCATTATGTGAAAAAATAGATTCAATACAGTAAATTTTTAACGAAAAAAGAAAGCACTTTTTCACGTTTCTTTTTAAAGCATTTTCACTTGTTAGATCTAAAACTGAGAGTCTCCAAGAAATTTGATGAGATTAGAAGAAAGTCCGTGAAAAAGTAGGTCTTCTGATGTAAAAATATTTGAGAAAAAAAGATCAGGGGCTTATTCAACATTTTCTACTGGAAAGTATGACTAAACGCTCTTTATGCTTATTTTGGTTTATTTTCCTTAATTTTCTAATGTAGACCTTTTTTCATTCATAATTCTAATCTAAAATTCGACTCAATGAGCAATAAGTACATGAATTAAAATATTCAAGGCTAATCTATGATGAGTAATCTTATGGTTACAAACAACATTTTCCTCTTCTATTCTGAACTAGATAAGTATATGAGAGATGTTCGACGATAAAGGAGACCCAGGTGAAGAAGGGACGGAGGGAAACGATCAGGATTAGAGGAACTTTCGGCCATATCCTTCACTTAGAAACAATGTATAGGACTTGTTGCCGTCTCTCACATTGATCTGACCTAACAAAATGTCGATTTATGGCGACTAAGGAATATGAGGAGTGACTTCATGGTTCCGTACCTCAGATTCTTTCGTTTCCAGTTACACTGTTATCTTTCCAAGCGTTTGTAAATATTCTTTGCGCACTTTTTTATCTGAAAATGAGCACTTTCAGGAGTGAGTAGGAAGTTCTCTACGAAAAATGAACATTTTGAATTATCTTCATGATTGTGATGCTCATTTTTCTCTATCGACATGGTTGCAAATCAGCTACCTGAATCTTTCGAAGCTAAAATGATCGTCTTTTTATATGAATACATGGCTCGTCATGGAAAGTGGAAATAAATATGAACGTATGTTCTTTTTTTGCAAATGATGCCGACCTAATACTTTTATGAGTTTTCAGTATCCCGAGGGTTTCCTAGAAAACTTCATAAATCATTTTTGTCTATCGCTTCTATGATAATGATGAAATGATTTATAAGGATTGTTTCATGTGGCGTAGATATTTGTTCTGGTTGCATGTGATTTCCAAAGAGTCTTCTTGTTTTTCTGTTGAGTTTTCTGCGATTTCCGATACTTTCCAATCAGATTAGAGCTAATCCCTGTAGATATCTGGTTTGTAGATAATATGAGAAAATCACCGTTTCTAACAAGATGGCTTTTCGAACCGGAATACAGTTTTCAAGTTTCTCAATTTTTCGTAAAACCAAAAACAAAAATAAAAAAACACCAATTCGTGATGCCATGATGAATTGTGCTTCTAACACTACAAAATTATCTGCAAGCCATTGTGCTGCTTAATCGTGACCACTAGTGCATTAAAATGTTCTGTACCAATGATAAGATGCCATCATCAGAAGATCTGATCTTATGCATGGTTCATCAACAAAATAAAATGAGAATACTTCAATTAATCGAGGATCAATACGGCGATGGTTAAGATACTTTCAACAAACGAACGAGTTGAAAGAAAATACATTTCCTACATCCAACTTCACTAACTGATAAAAACCAATGGGTTGGTTTGCATACGACACAACTCAAGCCATGCATCCATGGGTCCAATATTTAAAGGGTGCTCTATCTTTACCGACCCTTTTTTAATGAATCTGATGTAGATTATGATTCACTAGTTGAAAAAGACTAGGTCAGCAACATCTGTCGTTCGAACGACAATTGTATGATAAAAGCATATTCAATGGTGATCTTGAGAATCTGTCAGGGCTTTCCGAAGAACATATGATATGTCATTCCAATCTCTAAAGTATACTGCAAAAACATGAAAGACACGAATTAGTCCTTACAAAATTTGTTGGTAAAGTGACACTAGACAGAATCGTGCAACGCACCTACATGCGAGCAATGTTGCGTACTGTTTCATCAGTCTCTTGTATTGAAACGACAGTATATAATCCGCTTGGACACCAGATGGTACGCTATCACGAAAATTGATTGGACGAGCATGACATGTATTGATACTGTTATGTCAATCTGTGAATAACGAATTGATAGTATATTTCACATAGTTTATGATGTAAAAATGGTCTAAGCATAGTTTGTTTATGAATACTTTAAAGATTAATTTGAACAGTCAAAATATACAGTAAAATAACGCTCTTTGAAGTAAACTATAGATTGAATAAGTAAGACTGGTTACTTCCACTTGGATGTGGGGCTTGAGTATGGATGTGTCTGTATTTCAGTGTGCCGATGTTGGTGTTCGTGCAGTGTAGTTCTTCTCTTCATTATTCAAATAATCACATCCACACCCATATGCGCATGTACAGTATCGTATATACCCTGATGAACCCAAATATAACTCACAATACTTCCGTATAAGAATTTATAAATCAGAAAGGAAAGGTTTTTAAAGATTTATTCAAAAAAATAATAGTTCTCAGAGCACGTTCGATAGAAATTATATATTTTTCTTCACTTCAAACCATGTCACAGAATTTAAACGTCCAATACGCTTTCTGTTCTCAGGAAAATTCAGAGCGAATATTATATTTTATAAGAATTTTATTAGGTAATACTTCTTCTCTTGTTGATTTATTCTCGATGCAATTGCAAACGTCTTGTTTATAACTTCGATGATAAGTCATTTTCTTATGATAACAGATACGTATTCTAAAACTTCTGATCTACCATTTGTGTCACTGTTAATGTGTGCTACAGATGGTGGAAGAATAATATGTTTCATTCAAATATCAATGAAGATTCATAGATATAGATTTCTATTTTAGCGGTGTTTTAGCTCTTCGTGACAGCTACTGGTGCTGAAAAATTTGTTTCAGTTCTAAATCTAATAGTCAAAATGAGAGACATACAACAATAAAATGATGTAGTATGTAGAAGATCCTAGATGGAGGGTATACTAAACTTGTCATAATCTAATTTCAGTTTTAGCTCAAGGCCATTCATACTGCTTTGTTCGAAATTAAATTCTCTATCAAATGACATATGAATCATATGTCTCCTCAAGATTAAATGATCATTTAAAAAAAAAAAAACAATTTTGTGAGGATGAAATTCATCAATACATAGCGACATCTATCAAATTTGAATAATTCAACAATTTTAATTTATATTTATTTTTTCAAAAACGTTATTTATTCCAAAAAAATAATATTTAATTAGGTTCGAAAATGGGTTTCAATAGTTGAAACGAAACGCTAGAGGTCAACTTCCGTTTGAAATGGCAATTTAAAGAAAGACACAACAATAGACAAACGACAACAACCTTCGTTTAATTTCCGTATTGTTTGCATTCATCCATAAAATTCATTTCTTGCTTACAGATTAACACTTCTCTTGTTAAACAATAGAAATTCATGACTGAAACAGAAGTAGCTATTTCTGGTACCAGTGGTGTCAGTGGTGATACAGAAATTGATCTATATGCTGATGTTGTTGAAAATGAACTTGAAACAGTATGAAACTTCTCACTTTTTTTTTGCTCATTGAAATGCAGAAAATCTACTTTTGTTATTCCCTTTTCTTCTCTAAAATAGGGTACAGGCGATGATTATATGACTAGTGATGAACATATAGCACATGATGGAGATTTATATGACGATGTTATTACGACGCAATCATCAGTTACAGATTTTACTGACATTACAAATCCAGTTAATCATATTCATGCTAAACTTGATCAATCAAATGGATCAACAACTGGTAGAAATACACCATCGAGTGGTTATAATGGTAAACGTGTATCACTCTATGTTGGTCAATTAACTTGGGTATGTAATAAAAATGATTGATTATTGAATAATTTATATATATATATATGAAAAATTGTTACATTTTAGTGGACAACAGATGCTGATTTAGCTGATGCTATTCATGATTTAGGTATAAATGATTTACTTGAAGTTAAATTTCATGAAAATCGTGTTAATGGTCAATCGAAAGGGTTTGAATTATTTTTAATAATATTTCTAATGAATTATTTTATTTTTTAATAGTTTTGCTGTTGTTACTGTTGGTTCTGAAGCATCTTCTCGAATTATATCAGAGAAAATGCCTAAACGAGAAATACATGGGCAAAATCCAACAGTTTTACCTGGTAATAAACAATCATTAAGTTTTTTTGAAGGTGTTACTCGCAAAGATGCACCAATGGAACCTATGCCACAAATGTCTGCACCACCTCGTAAGTCTGAACAAGTAGAAATATTATCTAGAATATTTCTCTTAGTTCATCCTATGATGCGTCCACCAATTGGTCTTCCACTACCAATGCCTCGCGGTGGTCATATGGATGGTCCATATCGTTTTCCACCTCAAGGACCTGTTATTTTGCCTGGAGGACCTCCTGGTATGCCTCGTCAACAGATGCAATTAACTCTTGGTCCACGTGGTCATGTACCTAGTGGTCATATGGTTCTTAGTCGAATGCCTGGTCCACCTCCACCCGGTGTTCATCCACAACAATCTGTACTTCTTATGCAACGACCTGGCGTACCACCAGGCAGTAATGGACCACCTCTTGTTCGTCAACCTATGGCACCTGGAGCACCAGGTATAATTCATACAAAATATGAAATCCTTAATCGTTTGTTTGATTTATTTCATAGGTATGCCAGGATCTTCGGGTTCAGTAAATGTTATGCCTGGTCAACATCCACCTGGTTATTATCCAGGTCAACCTGGCCAAGGCGTAAGTTTTTCATGTTTTGTTTTAATCAAATTGTTTTGTCAATGTTCATTTTGAATTATAGCCTCCACATGGTGTTCCACTTCCCGGTCAACAACATCCTGATCCATATTATCGTAATGTTGACGCGCGTTCTGATCCAACAAGTATGGTGCCTATTAGTGAAGCAGAATTTCAAGAAATAATGGATCGTAATAAAACAGTATCAAGTAGTGCGATTGCTCGAGCTGTTCAAGATGCATCTGCCGGTTCGTATATATACATATATATATCTATTCTCAATTAACTTTTGTGAGAAACAAGATCTAAAAGGAATGTTAAATTATATAGAGTAGAAATCTCCACAGGCGCTAGTCAGAAGCCAAGTTGTTCTCACTTTATAAAAATGGAAACGTTAAAAGTTGCTAGAAGTAGTGAAATTCGGCTCAAGCCTATTCATCTCGCAACGACACTATTTGCTTATTTTATATTTTACTTTCTACCAGAGAAAGGTAAATTGTATTTCAAAACTTTATTTTTGTCTAAAGAGAAATATACTCAAAAAGAAAAAAAAAGATAGAATAAAACAGTGTCTCTATGATTAGCAAGAACAACTATATTGTGTTTCACATTGTTATTCTGCTGAGATTACATTAACAACTTTTTTTTTTCTCTTTTACAAATCAGGTGAATTTGGTACGGCTATTGAAACATTGGTAACAGCTGTATCACTTATAAAACAATCAAAAATTGCGAATGATGATCGATGTAAAATTTTAATTAGTTCTCTACAAGATACACTTAAGGGTATTGAAGATAAATCATATGGACAACGGTAAGATGAAAATTGAAAGTTTTTTCTGAAAACTCTTTTGTTTTTTGTCTATGTAGAGCACGCCATCGAAGTCGATCGGGATCACCACGTGAATCATCACGTAAGAAACATCGTCATCGTTCACGTAGTCCACGCGACCGAAATGAATATCGACGTAGTGAGGATTACGATGGCAAATATAGTCGTGAACATCGACGACGTTGAAAGAAAAAAACATAAAAAATTCAAAATCCCGCTTTTTGATATTTCTGAAAGAACCAACGATGCGATCTGGTAAGCTGTTGAATAAGTTATTTCTTTTTTTTTTTTTTTTTTATTCTTTTTATTCTGTGTTAATTTATTTTTAAACTTCTTTTTTTCTCTCTCTCTTTCTCTACGTTATGTGTGCGTGTGTGTATGTTTTTTTCTTTTGTTTTTAAATCCCCTAATGTCTGCTATATTAAAATTAAGTGCAATGATTTTTACATAAGACATATTCTCTAGTCATAATATAGTTTAACAATCAAATATGTTTCGTTTTTTTACTCATCGTCATTTTATTGTTTCTTAATGGCAAAGTCAAATAGTCTGTTTTTTTTAATTTTTTTTCGCCCTTTGGAATATATGGTTGTTTATATATATATTATATATCTGCATATATAAGTTCTTTTTTTATATATATATTTACGTTATACTCGTAATTAATTGAGCTATTCTCATTCCAATATGCAATTGCATGATTTTGAAATTTTTGTTCTGTGTTTTTATTTTTGTCCCGAATATTTCGAACAATAGTATTTAATTATCTTAATCAATGTATACAGATAGAAAATTTTCTAAATAATGAATAAATAGTATAATTTATTTATATGATGATGTTAATGATCATTATCGGACAATGGAAAGTTGGCAATATAATAAAAAAAAAAGAAAAGAAAAGGAATGATCCCTTTGAGAAAACAGACGAGCATGATTCAAGCGACACTTATCGCTGTTTGTAAAAAAAAAAAAAAAAAAGAAACAGTAAGTGTGAAATTTTTGGAGAAAGAATTATATAAGATTAAAAACAAAAAAAAATATCAACTGAATGTTTTTTAGTATATCTCGTTTTTTTTGTTTCATTTTTATGTTTTAGGTCAATGCCTCGAGTGAATCATGACCAACCGTCTTTTTTCTTCCTTCTTTTTTTTGTTCTTTCTGTTGCTGTTTGCTTTATTGTACAAACATTTCTTTTGCTTGTCTGTTCTTGTTTCCATATTGCACTATTCATTTTGTTGTTTCATGTTTTCTACGTTTTTGTGTTTGTGTACGAATATGAAGAAAAGAAAAGAAAATGAAGTGCTTCAATTTCATATTGGTTTGAATATAATGAGAATATTGTCAATAGAAATACATGAGATGTAAAGCTCACTTCAAAATAATAAAGAAAAACCACAACAACAAAACTAATGTCTGTAAAAGAATTGTAAAGAGCCGTATTTATTGTCGATGACTCAATCACAGCTGGCGACTTGCGGTTTTCAGTAGTTGCATAGAGAATATTTTAAAACTCATTATCTTGGCAAAAGACTAATGTCTTGCAATCGGGTCGAATCTGGATTTCAGATCATACTTGGCAATATAATTAGATCTAGACGTTTCAAAATATTTATACTGTTTCATATATAAAAGTATAGGAATGAAAGTCAGTTCGATCATGATTAAGGAATTCATAGTACTTGAGAACAGGTCATAAACTAGGAAACCGATATTATTTTACTAACAATGGAGGTGTTTGTGTCGTAAGTTGAAAAGACCAGATATTTTTGCATCAAAAGAAAGCTCTCACCGCCAAACTAACAAGGTTAAAATATTAGCTGCTGTTGGCTTGCCTAGAGGGGGATATTGAGATTTTAAATTTAGGTACAAAAATGAATCAGGAAAG